CTCGGATTCTTTCTTTCAGTGTTGGGAACTTGAAGGTTTTCCTCAAGAGAAACATCAAAAACTTCAGTTTGGCTTTTATTCTGTTCAGAACAGTTAGTTTTTTGGGTGCTTCCATCCATATTCAGGCATTTTAACAGAGCTACAACTTCTTGTTGTACATTTTGATGGTCAACTAAAGAAGAGCTCTGGTCTCTTTTATTTTGATCCCCATCCATATCATGGAGGACAACCTCTTCATTCATTTTAGGACCCTCTCCTTCCTCAGAAGTAGGCAGCACCTCAGCACTCAGTCTCTCATCCTCCTGCAGGACAGTTGAAAGGGGTTCCTCCTCCTTGGGATCTGGTTCTTTTAACCTTTCTTTTATCTCCCTACTCTGATCCTGCATTGCTGTTCCAGGTTTGGGGGATCTGACTGAGGCAGTGTCACCATTACACGCTGCTTTGCCATTAACTGAAACTCTTTCCTTTGAGGGATCTAAAAGAAACAAAATATGACAGAAATTATTTGAATAAGTTGGATTTATTATTTGGAAGAGTAATGCATGAGCTGCAAAACGTGTTTGTCATCAGTCGTCACCTGAAGGTGTGCCAACAGGTGGGAAATAAAGCAGTATAAACGTTAATGCTGGAGATTTGGGAGAAGAAACAAGCGTGTTTACTTCTAAAACCAAACCTCACATGTTTCACTGAGACTTAAAGGCAAAAAATACCTCAAAAATCAACAAATAAACTTTGCATATAAAGTCTGCAGCATTAGGCCCACAGCAGCGGCTTTATGATATAAAAACAAGTCGTAAGATTCTTTTAAACTAAACAACCTCTTTGCATGTTACAGTTACCTGACGGTGGACGGAACAGGAACCTAACAAGTGGATAGAAGGCATAAAACAGCAAGCTTCCAATCATGATTCTTTCCGAAAATAAATCCACGCATGCGCATTACGATATCGGCGTTGGCCTATGTAAGGCAAGCTGTTTTATCATTTAAATTTCTGCAAACCCTGTTTCGCAAGTAGATTAGATTCAACTTTATTGTGATTACACATGTACAGGTACAAGGCAACGAAATGCAGTTTAGGTCTAACCAGAAGTGCAATAGCAGCAAGTGCAGGATAAATAATGGTTCCATTAATACAGGACATGGGTTTCTACTGAATAAGTATAGAGATGAATACCTTTATAAACAGAATCTTACTAACAGATGAATATAATAGTGTTATAAACTAAATTTACAGCTGGATATGTACCGAATATAATATACAGGTGGATATTACTATAACAAAAAAGGTTTTTACAGTTATGTACAATAGCATATACATATATACAGATGGATTTTACTATAAAATGAATAAATATAGTTTGGACAGAAGCTATCTAAATTAAAGTGCAGTGGAAGGTAATTGCATATTACAGTTAAAGTACGTTATTGCAAATGTATATGTAAACAGTAAAAGTAGAGCACTCTCGTCCAGTGGCGGTTCTAGACTAAATGTACCAGGTGGCTGCCGGCCGGGAGAGGCCAGCGAGTTTTAATGGGGGCCAGAGGCGTAGCCAGAAATTTTTTTATAAGGGTGGCCAGGCAATAACTAATGTTAACTGAGGGGGGGCCTGAGGGTTGATAGGCACCAGAACCTCAGGGTCAATCTACAACAGGAAAATTAATGGGCACAACATCCATATTTTCTAAATAAAGACTAACTATACTTTTCTACAACATTTGTTGACAAATAGACACATAAATATTTAAACATCTGTGCTTTCTAGATAAAAGTTATGGATACAATTCTTTGAGGTTTGACTTTTGGGCGAACATCTTTTCCATTGTCATTACCTACTTTTATCAATAATCATTCTGCATAAAATTGATATTTACAAGTACTAATATCTACATAAATTGATTATTTAATACATTTTATTAAAATAGCTATTTATCAATTATTTTACTGAAGACTCTTAGATGACTTGCAGAGACATAATATTCTCTTTACCTCATACAACACAAAATCTAGTTCTGAAAAAAGCATGAATTCTGTACTTATCATCTTTAATGTTAGTATATTGATGTGCAGAACTAACCACAGTGTTTTTTTGTGTGTGTTTTGTTAAATGTTTTAAATATTCCACTTGAGAGTGTTACTGCTGTCACCATCTGTATTAGAGGGGGAAAAAATGGTAGGGGTGGCCACAGGGGTGGCCAATGATTAGCTAAGGGTGGCCAAGGCCACCCCTGGCCCCCCATCTAGCTCTGCCCCTGATAAGGGCACAAAGAAGCGTGAATTAAAAAAACAGGACAAGGGATTCATATCAAGAGAGCTGCATAAAGTGAAATTTAAATTAAATAAGGTTTAATTAAAATTCTATGTCTTCCAACTAAAAATATTTATTTTTGGCTTAAAAATGTTTGTTTGGATAATCGTTAAAATAAAAATAAAAATCCCTTAGAATAGCAAAAAAGGCAACTCAAAAAGGTTCTAGCTATATAAATATCTAAAAGATCAAATAAAGCTAATATTTGGAATATTAGGTCAATATACAATAATAATTTAGGAATTTTACATATTTCTATTGTAATTTAAGTTAAAATGACAGTTTTCTATAAAATCAGAATTAGCAATCAAGAAAAGCTGATAAATTATGCTGTAAAAATTTGAGGTTTTTTTAAGTGCTTTGAAAAACACTGGGATCCTATCTCAATACCCATGAAGCCTTATCATCACCTTATTGTTTTTAAATAATTAGTAGAACTGAATATTTTGAGGGAAAAAAATGAAATAGATCCAAAGGACCTATCAGTAACCAGGTCTGTTACAATGCAGATCATCATCAGATTTTCTTTTAGTATTGTCTTCAGTTCAGGGGCCAGGACATGATCTACACGGGCACTGGCCCCCGTTGGCCCCTGTCTACAACTGCCTATGCTCTTATCTAGTAAAAGAGGTAAATAAATAGCACATTTTAACTGTCAAGGTTATATAGTAATTGAGAATACGTGATAAAAAATAAACTAATATAAGATATAAAAAATATTTTTTCACGTTTGAGAGTAAAATGTCTGAGGGCTCTGTTTTTTCTGCTTTATTTATTTTCTTCTCTCTGTTTGGAAGACTTTCTCACTACAGCAGAAAAGATCTGTAATTAGTAAGGTGAAACAGCAATAAATAACTGAAATAAAAGTGGAACATGCAGAGTCCCACGAAGCAAGCTGAAAACAGGAAAACAAAAACAGGAAGTCGAGTTAGATTAAATCTTTACTCACAACCAACCTCATTATTTCCCCCCGACCCGCCAATAGATCCCACCTCTAATGTCCTCAGCGGAAAATGCGGACGACAAAATAGGAAAAAAATAAAATAAAAGAAGTTTAATCCATTCAGGTAGTTCCATAACTTGGGCGTCACTGCCAGGCTTGGACTAGAGCACCTACCTTTGACAATAAATAACTCAAGTAGCCAAAGAAGTAATAAATGATTAACCTTCCTACATTATTCATGCAGTATATATAGCCCTTCCTTCTCATGCACATCCTTGCGATAGTTTTCATATGGTGTAATTTCCTATTTCTTCAAACTGTAAAATTCTTACAACAAACTAAATTATAATAAAAGGAACATGTTTTTTTTAACCAAACTATGTTGTTCCTCTTATATTTGGTGAATTTATGTTAGAATTTTTTGCAAAAATATGTTGCAGTGCATGATGGGGTTTTTCATCTGTTCACATTATTCCATTTCATTGCCCAGATGCCACCTAGACAGGCAGTGAATGCTTACAGACCGCTGAGCTTTCATGGATTCATTCTTGAAGAACTGCCTGTCTGCCTCTATATTGCATTGTTTTAAGTTGGTGTTTTTACAAGACTCGTATGGAATTAAATCTGTGCCACTGGGATTTAAATTAAAAATGTCACTGAAATAGAAATGTTGTATGTTTATACTTACTCTTTCTGTGTTAAAATATATTCAGAAAACATTTTCAACCTAAAAAAAATAAATAAATGTCACTATATCTGTATAGTTGAAATTTTATTTGTTATTTTCATTTCAAGGTAAAAATTCACATTACTATTTCACAGTTAATACATTTTCAATACCTGTTTTTTTTTTTCAGTTTGACTTTTCAGTGTTAAAAAAATCAGCATATAAAAAAATCAGCCTTTCAAAATTCAAACTCAATATTTTCAGCAACTGAGATTCAACTGGCTCAATTTCACTGTGTTAAATTCGGCGTCTAAATTCAATGTAAAAAGGGAAGGGTTACTTAAGTTCACAGACATTAGCAATGGATTGTGGTGTCCAACACTCAGCCAATCCCGTTACAGTTTCATAGTCACGTGATGGATGGAGGCGTCCAACACCCAGCCAGTTTTGTCCAGAACCTTTTGTAGCTTTTTATATAGCTTGCATAATAACAATGCATTTGTATCAATACCAGACAAAGATAGTCTATTTCTTATGTGATGAGCCACCACATTAATTTTATAAAACAAAGTCAACAACACTAAACATGGATGGACTACATGGCCATTGCATATTAACAGAAAATAACTCAAAACATATGGAATAAATGATAAGTTTATTTTCAGTGGGCCAAAACAAAGTGCCTTCCCTTAATCCAGGATTGTTAATAAGTCACCAATTCTCTCACTAACATTATCTAGGTTGATTTCTCTCTTTTTTTTCTTTTATTTTTTTGTCAACTACAATCGATTAGTTTGAGCAAAGCGGATGGATACTGTAAATGTGTGTTGATTTGTCACGAAAGTTTACTGTTCTTAAACATTTACTTTTAACCACATAGTACATTAGAGTACATTGGACTGCTGTGTTTTACTATGAAAATGTCTACAGTTTGTATTGTGGAACACGATGGTAAGGACACTGATGCATGAATTCTTAATAACCCTCTGGCTGACATATAATCTCAGGGGTAGAGTTACGTTCTTGATTAAACAGGCCAATGTTTTGACACAGTGCAAACTCTTCCAAGGCACATTAAATACTTTTACAAAATAACACATCAGCTTGAGTAATGTCCATACTCTCCTTCAAGGGACTGAGCTTGAAAGATGAAGCCTCTCCTTCACCCATGGTCTCAGACTCTGAGTCTGACCAAGACTTAGAATTTGAAGGTGAGTTTCCTAACATTTAATTTTTGAAAAAGCTTTCACTGCTATAAAAAAGACAGAAAATTGTGTCCATAAAGGGTCTGGCATTTAGGGCAATCCAAAACTTTAGAATGTCATTAAAAATTGAATTTATTATTGTAACTCGCTGCGAAAGGGAGACTCTACAGCAATATTACAATTAAGATCATTTATTTCAAATAGGTCATTGTTCTGATGGCTTTATTAGTAAAAAGTTTAAACTTTGTTAATAAAAATATTAAAATGTTAAATAAGACCAATAAAAGTAGATTTCAGAGTGAAATTATATTTCAGTACACTTGCTTATCATTGGATCATTTGAAAGATTGCTGACACGTATATTTGTTAACAGAGTGCTTTATCCATGCATTTTAATGGAAAGTTAAGTAAAAGGGAAAAATGTGGCATAAAATGATGATGTGGCATTTTTTTTAGATATTCAGTTTGTGGAGATTTGTCCTATCTTGGCTGCAGCTGAAGTTAGTGTCTCCAAAATTAGCTACAACTGTCACATTTCTTGGTTGGGATATTTTTTAAACCAACACAAGACCCTACAACATAGATGAGCTGTTAAAGCAAACTGAGCTTTATTGATGCCTAAGCACAACTATGGGCTGATTTTTTCCATTCCATGCTAAATCACTGATTCATGCTGTAGAAGCCCCAAAATAAACATAGATGTCATATGTACACACTTCAAAGATTGTATAAAAAATGTCTTTATTTTTCATTTCTAATGATAGTCTAATGAAATAGATGGCATTAAAAGTAAGAGTCTAAAATCTTTATAAATTAAACATAATTTTAAAATGAGTTATTGAAATAAATGCAAATTTTTATGGCATTTCTTTTGACATGATGTTGTTAGCTTTATGTGAAAACCACATTGCTGTACAGGGATCTCTCTAGAACTTGTTTAATAATCTAATTTAAACACAGAAAAAAAGAAAACCACTGAAGAGATGTCAGTAGCTGAGGTGTACATGGAGGCCTGCAAACTGGTGGGTGTGGTTCCAGTTTCCTGCTTCATTCGAAACCTTGGGTCCCCAACCGTGACACTCACCTACCATGGGCTCGGACCTTTAGGTTGCAAAGCACTTTGTATTGCTTTGGTGGTGAGTTCAAAATGCAATTTCCACAATAAAATTATTTGGAAGCTTATATCTGATGAGCTGCATCTATTCTAGTCTGATGTGCACATAAGGACTCTTGAGCTTGCCTACAATAACATTCAAGCTGAAGGGGTCAAATGTCTGTTGGAGCTGCTGAGGGCCAATTTTACCATCCAGTACCTGGTATGTATAGACTGAAAACTGACCACTAGAGGGCATAAGTGACATAAAAGAAGAATTTCTAAAAACAGCAATGGGGTTTTTACAGGATTTATCAAACAATCACATAAGATCGGAAGGAGCTGAGGATGTAGCTAAAATGCTGCTGGACAGCATTTCTCTGAAATCTATAAAGCTTTCAGGTAATGTGTTTGTAAACTTATTTAGATGTACTTCAAGTTCATTTGGGAGGCTGATGTGAAACATTTTTAAAAAGGAGTCCCCCCCCAAACACCAATCATAGTTTCATATAAAAAAGTTACTTGATTGACTCGTTAAACTCTTCATTTATTTGCAGGAAATAGATTTAAAGATGATGATGCTAGATTTTTCACAGAAGCACTGTCAGTAAGTTTCTAATAAACTGTTACAATCTTTATATTTTTAGTTGTTAATAAAAACTAATAACTTTGCTTTCCTTTCTGCTTTTAGACAAATTCCAGGATAAAGGATCTGGATTTGAGCCATAATGAGTTTAGGGAGAGAGGAGGAGAATATTTGGGACAGCTACTGGGTATAGCGATTTAAATGGTAAATAAAGTATGTTAGAGAGGTAAAATAAAGATATCTCCCCTATCTTTATCAGCAAACAATGAAGGCTTAGAGGTTCTGGATCTCAGCTGGAATCATCTCAGAATGAAAGGAGCTGTGGCTTTTTCTGCTGGGCTTAAGGTTTGAATAAATAATAATTATTAAAGAAGATATATTTCTTTATTGAAACCAACTTAACTGATCCTAGTTTATTTTATACACTTAGGTCAATACAATGCTGAAACATCTTGACTTATCATGGAATGGTTTTGGCAATGAGGGAGCCTTAGCCGTGGGCGAGGCTCTAAAATTTAATAACACTCTGGTGCATCTTAACCTCAGCAACAACTGCCTTACTAATGAAGGTGTCAGGATGCTCTGCAGAGGTCTGGAATACAACGAAACGCTACGAGAGCTGCTGGTAGGTTCATGAACCTGCCTTCATTTGTTTGGCCTGGTTTTAGAAACACCCTTCATGGTGATTCCTTATTTTGCTTTTGTAGCTGGCCTATAACTCTATAACAGTAGAGGCAGCTCTCGTCCTGGTCAATGTGGTGAGGAACACACCAAAGACGGCTCTGGAGCAGATCAACATTTGTGTGAGTGATCTAGCCCTGCATGTTAATAAGATTCACATTTAGATAGAACCCATACCCATTGAATTTCAACCACAGTTGTCAGTTCAATTCAATTCATTTTATTTATATAGCTCCAATTCATAACATGTCCTCTTAATAACTATTACAGAGAAAATACTGTCAGGTTGGTTAAAGGTTTTTGTCCAGGAAAACCAGTTGATTGCATCGAGTCATTTATTTGCAAGACATGCTCATCCTGGATTAGCCTGCAAATATCTTAGACTAAGTATATATGCAGCAACATGGAGAGGAAAAACTCCCCTTTAACAGGAAGAAGCCTCCTGCAGAACGAGGCTCAGTGTGTGCGGCCTTCTGCCGAGGCCATCTAGGGTTGGAGGAGATAGAAGCAGACATACAAATGAAGCAAATATAAAAAAGGTAACTGTTAACTAGCTCCACAGGTAGCGCCGTCCAGCAAAAACACAGCCAGTCAGATGAGGTCTGAGCCAGTTGTCATGTCAGAGGATGGAAGGGAGCAGATACAGTTAGTCACGGTAAAAAAAGCAGGACTTCTAGACCAATGGCATGTCGATGGCAGAAGCATAGCTGATATTTCAATCCAGGAAGGAGCAACAGTCAAACAGAAATAGACAAGAAGAGAAGGCAGAGAGAACATAAAGTTAGGGGTGAAGCATAGCAAATATAGCAGATTGGGAGAATGGAGATAGAATGAAGAGGAATGATGAGAGGTGGTCTCTATGTCCTCCAGTAGCCTAAACATATAACAGCATAAATATGGAAAACAGCTCAGGATAACCAAACTATTTTGGATGAGGTATGAAAAAGGTAGAGCTAAATTGTCCTGTTAAGACCACAAACTTCAGTATATCTATGTGATGAACCAACAAATTTATTTAGGCCATTCCAACATGAATATAATATGATGTAAACTACTCTACTGTAAATCTGAGTGGAGGTCAACCTGAAATCCTAAAGGCCTCTAACAGGTTTTATTTCAGCATGAATCCATATTTAATTTCATCCCTTTATGACCAGCTTTCCTCTCTCCACTGGAAAAAATATAATCCCTTGAGCATGATGCTGCCACCATGATATTTAATCATATTTAGTCGGGTCTGACACCGTTGTATACTGTAGGAAAGCTTTGTGGTTCCTGTCCCAACACCGCTGCATGTCTGCCATCACGCTGGGTTAGTGTTGACGATAAGTTAGCCAGCGCATGGGAAGTTTTCTTTATTGTTTTGTTCTCTTGTCCGTCAGAATCTCTCTCACCAGTGCTGCACCATGTCTATTGAATGTAAGCAGAGATGTTTCGGCCTGTTAAATCAGTGCGACTGTCTTGGTCTGTATGTTGAGCTCTATGGCATCACATAAATTAGCGGGTTGACCCTGGTGTGATGTTCCTAGTGTATGCCGATTGAAGCCAGTTGACGGCATTTTAACCCGTATCGCTTGCCGAGACGTTTTGAGGCGTTCCCACTGCCACTTAAAGCTGATTGTTCCCTGGTTTAAACAGGTTTTTCAGCCAGTGGGAAAGGGTATAACAATTCTCTAAAGAATTCGGAATTTCAATTTCAGTCAAGGGAAATCTAGTATTTAGTTAATTAATCTAGAATTTAGTTGATTACATGACATCTGAAAGCAGCTCTTTGTACTGATAAAATCAACAGCACAGTTTTCTTTTTATTATTAAAAATTTCAACAATTACACACCATCTTGTGTTACTCCATCACTTAAAACACACATAAAATAGATTCAAATCAGTTTTTCTAACATGTTGACAGGGCTCTGTTTATGCAGCGGCCTTGGCTATCACAGTGAAGGTTTATATTCAGATAAATGAATAATGTTTTTCTTAATCTTACACACAAAAAACATTTTTCTTTCTTTAAAATTAACAGAATGTTTTGGTAAATGAGAGCTTTGTGAATGTTTTGGACCTGACGTGTCAGGAGCATCCTGGTCTGAATGTCCAGTATGGAGGAGTTGGAGGTTTCATCGCTCAGAAACCACCCAAACCAGTCGATCCGATGAAAGTCATACAGGTTAGCTTCGGTTTACCAACTTATATTATTTCATATATTTACAAAATATGCATGATATTAGTGAGAAAAAGAATAGAACAATGCTGAAAACTATGAAAAGAAAAACATTAAAGCAACATACGTTAACATATTTTGTTGTTTTTTTAAATCATTGAATACTTTCCCCCCATATTTCTCAAGGATTACCTCGATAAACGCAAGCTGCGTCTGTGGGATTTCTTTCGAAATATTGACAAAGACGGCACCATGCGAGTTTCTGTCACAGATTTCAGGAAGGCAGTTCAGGTTTCTAAACCTATTTATACATCACATATCATAATGATTTTATGTATTAATATATTATTGTGAAGAAATATTCAATTATACTTAAATCTTATTATTTACTTATTTCAGACGATGAAATATTTTCCTGATACTTCGTGATAACTTTTTTCTGTTTGTGTGTGTAAAACTTTTAGCAATCAAGCATTCCATTGAATCGATATCAGATTGAGGAGCTAATTAACAGACTTGACCGGGACAGAACAGGAGTAGTAGATTACAGGTAAGCAGTTCCTTCCCAGCTTATGCTTGCTCAGATACCTTCTTTATTGATTTATTGCTGGGAAATACAGGGTAACACCTCGTATATTACTGTGCAATCATGAGATTTATTGCCCTCTGACTACAGTATGCTTAAGATACAAGCAATGAATGACACCACATGTTCAAAAATCTTTTCTTAGAAGACTAGTTATATTTTGTTAAATTAGGTCGAAGGACCACAAGAGCCTAAACAGAATTCAGATGGGGACCCCTCCTTTATCTAAACTAAACCTCCAGCACAGCTGCATTTATCCCGGTTTAATTTAATAACTGTATAATTTAGTTAACTGTTGTAATTTTGAAAATGTAAAAATTTTTGTAACTTTAGAGTATCTATTTTTTTCTCCTTTGTGTAACCCTGCATCCTTCTATTTACCCTTTACTTTTCTTGCACAGGCAATATTTGAAAATCACTTCCTCTTAAGGACAAAACATGATTCTATTCTATTCTATTTTTTTTTTTTACTTTATCACAATGGTCACCTCCAATTGTTTGTGTATGGTGGAGTATAAGGGCCGTACTAAGGCTTTATTTTTCAAATTAGAGGAACAAAGTCCAACCATTACAAGAATTCAAGAGCAAAATTGTACTAATATTATAGTGAAGTCATTATCACAATAAGGAATAACAAGAATGGGACTAAACAGTCGTTTCAATAACAGAGAAGCTTCAATAAAGTTATAAACCAAACCCACACCCACAGGGGAAAAACTGCTCTTTCTAGTGTACGTTTACAGAAAAGAAGGCTACTTCTTGGATTTTGTTTGAATCATTTTATTCTTGTAATATTACAAATTTCATCTTGTTGCAACTTTATTCTCCCAATGTTACCATTTTAGTGTCATAGACTTTAAACTATGACTATTTTATAATAAAAAAAATACTTTTTTTATTTCAAGAACAAATTCTCATATTATTACTTTATTTTTTTAATTATATAAAAAAAAAATATATATATATTTTTTAGCCCTAATACTCAGTTGGAGGTAGGTTAAACAGTTTGTTTATAAGTAACCACCATAAAAAAATGTAGATTATTGTGATTTTTGTTTTTGCAGTTAGGGTTTGCATGACAAAGGCAGCAGAGCTAAGACAGTGTCAAATGATTATTTCACTGACACCTTCACCTTCATAACATTTTTGAGTTATGAAGGTTTTTCTTGATTCCTTTTTTTTTCTCTTTAGGGCAATACTGCTCTTTATTCATTTGTAGCTGCACAGGAGAAGTGCAGAGAGGAAATAGGTTTAGACATGTAGGAAATGGGTCTGGAATAGACAGAAGAAAACTGCTTTGAGGGCCAAACCCTCTGTATATGTTGAATTAGCGCTGCTGGGCCCTTTCTTTCTGTCCTGCCAGAATTTAGGCAAGCAGGGCTGTGTCCCCCATCATGGTGCTTCCATTAACATGTTTTGCAGTGGGGATGTTGGGATAAAGGTGATACTCAGTAATAGTTTTCTGCCACATGTACCATCATGAACATTAGCTTAAAATGAACATTTTGCTACTGTACACCAGAGCTCCTTCTCCTATTAGTTTGCTGTGCCCCATGCATGGATTGTGGAAAACAGCAAACAGGACTTTATAGGGGTTTATTTTTACAACAGTTTTATCTTTCCACTCAACTATAGAAACCAGGTTTGTTGGGTGCATTGCTAAGGATTCACAAGTCAACTAATTTTCTGACTTAATTGTTAGATTTTTGCAGCTCCTCCAGAGTAACCAAAGACCTCCTGGTTGGTTCTCCGACTGACGTCCTCTTTAAACTTCTCAATGGCTTTATTCTCAGCAGTCTGCTCTGTTTTTTTCTCTGTTTGTATACTTACGTTCTCCAGATTGGTGATTTCTAAAGCCAGTTAAATGGTTGCACATATTTTTTTTCCTTTAAGGTTTTTTTTTAAAGTAAAGGATGCTAATCAAATGCCTGTTCACTTATATTGTTTTCATTATTTGTATTTGCTGATAGAGCTTTTACAACCATTTTTCTACTTCAGATTTTTAGAAATGATATTGAAGTCTGATGATGGCAGGTGATAAAATCACATGTTATTGCAAAGCCTTCTTGACAGTTTTACAGTGGTTAGTTTTGTTTTATTTGATTTTTTTCTTCAGGGGGTTGGCAGATACTAGAAAACAGATGATGAGAGATCATCGCCGTCAGCTGAAGAAAGTGGAATCCCGTCAGAAGAAAGAGAAGCAGAAGAGTGACCGCATACTGAAGACCTTCCAGACCGCAGTGGAAGCCGTCACGCCTCGTAGCTCCATGATCATCTCCCCAGGAGGTGCCAAAGAAGACTCAGGTGGCCCGCAGCCCTTTTCTGCTACCCCTCTCAGTTCCTGGCACCACATTCTAATGTCAAACAGCAGTCGCTATTCTGTCACCAACATGAGCAGCGACCATGCCCATCTGCCAATGTTAGGAGGTACCTCCCCTTACCGTCCAACCAGTTCTCCGGCGATGCGGTCCTACTCTCAACCCAACTTGCTGGCTGATTCCTCCCACTCTCCAACAAGCAAATCCGTCTCTGCTCAGGGCATTCGCTCTGATCTAGAGATGGAGCCCAGTAAGCTAAGTCCTACTGGCAACAGCCTGACCAGGTCCAGGCCGGCTCTTAATGCAGAGCAGCCAAAGGGTAAAGTCAAAGCTAAGAAGTTAAAGAAACAGAAATTGAAGAAGCACAGTGATAAAGACACAAAGAAACCTATGAAGAGCATCAACTAATGTGTGTTCAACAATAAAAAAATATATTAAAGCTAAAACTGAGTTTCATTGACATTTTTTAATGTTCTTTGTTCTGATGCGACAGTAATTTTCTATTTATATATTTCTTCACTCTCCAAACTCATCTGACGATAAACCAATATTCAAAGCATTTTAATCCAGTATCCAGAGATGATTGATTTCTTTATGCTTTAATTTGTTTCCTATACAGTCATGGTCTTGCTCCATTTAACTCTGTTTCTTTATTACTTTTAATGCCTGCAGACTGTACAGTATTGTGACCTCTCTGGCACACCCATGCCTACACAGAGATAATTTTCTGCAAACATTTGACTATTTATTATATGGGGGCTAAGGAAGATGGGAAGTACATATACTGTTACCTGCCTTGGCCAACAATTGTGTGAACTGTGCAGGTGTTGCATCCAGGATTAGTTTTTGACAGGCTATATAAATGGTAAAGAACAAGCTTTCTCAGTCATAACGACCAGACTGCACAATGATCAAGACTCTAATACTCTCAGCACTGCTGAGCTCCACAGCGGCCATGGGGGTATGTATGGCAAAACGTAAGAATATCATTTTCCACATTTCTTGCATCCTACATCATCTGATCTGTTTCCTCTATTTCTCGTCTCAGGTTGGAGGCCTGTGGAGGGGAGGGAGTGTAAGGAATGAGACAGGAGGAGGGGAGAAGTGCACCTGTGATGCCTTCCTGCCCAGTTCTACTTTTCCTGTTGCCGATTTGGAGGTGGTGGAGCAGACAGCAGATGAAATCTCACATATGCTGGAGCTGGAGATGGGAAAGGTACTGATGAGTATGCATGATGGTAATGGGTTATAAGGCTGTAACTACTGCAAATGTGATGCTTTAATACTCCTGAAAAATAATATTATAATGTGTTTCTGATGAGGAAAAATCCATCAATCTGCTCTGAATTCTTATATTTTTGTACTTTCAGATTGAAGAATTTGAAATTAAAATTACAGAGTATGCAGAAAAAATTGAAAAGCTGACATTAGAAGTTGATACTATGGAGAAAAATCCAGATGACTACAAAGAAGCTGACTTTGAAGAGATAAACGTGCAGATCAAACAGGTGGAGGCTCTGGTTTTAGAGCTGCAGCTCTCAGTCAATGCTTCGATTGTTGTCTTTGAATCCCTGCATGTACAGGTATGTTAGAAGCTTTATGCAAACTGAACAGTGATTGGTACACCATTACAATCTTTGACTAATACAGAAGTATGGGTGCTCTTACAGATCAGCGTAATGGTGGAAACCCTGAACAGACTGGAGAAGATCCATGATAAGAATTTAGTTCTTTCAACTCGCAGAGAGTATATAAAGCTACAAGTTGAGCTTGAGGAGTGTGAGAGACGCCACCAGGAGCTGTTTAACCCCGACATCGGTGAGCCTATTCCCATAATGACAAAATTTGGGAACATTCCCTGAACTCATAGGACTGATCACCCTCTCTCTCTCTCTGCAGGCTCATGTGCTCACTCTGGTATAATCAGGGTCAGCAAGCCTTTGGTGAGCCAACTGAATGCCCACCTAAGTAGCGGCTACTATTATGGAGGCTGGGGGAAAGATTCAAAGCCTATTCCCGAAAGAGAGTCCATGTACTGGTACTCGGGTTACTCCTCCACTACGATGGTGGACATCAGATTCTACACTGACTACAAAAACTTAATTCTGAGAACGCCTTTTCTACATCACTCCTTACCCAGTGGTTGGTATGGTTCAGGAAACAACTTTATAGTCCGTGATAACACCCTATATTATCAGATAAACAACCCGTTCGCAATTGCAAAACTAAATTTCACCACAGTGAAATATGAGTACAGGGTGGTTGCTAAGGCCTCCCCCAAGTTCTCCTACTCCAGCTCCCCTAATCAGAACTTTGACTTTGCAGCAGATGAAGCAGGCCTGTGGGTGACCTATGCTACAGAAGAATCTGGGGGTCGGATGATCATTGCTAAAATAAATGAGGCTTCCTTTGGGATTGAGGAGGAATGGAAGACCAGTGTTTATAAACCAAGTGTTACTAATGCCTTCATGATTTGTGGTGTTTTTTATGCAGTCAGAACAATAGACACCCTAACAGAAGAGATATTTTACAAATATGACACTAACACTAAGCAGGAGGAGTACATCAGTATTCTCTTTGAGAGGTTTCGGGATAAATACTACAATCTGGATTATAATCCCACTGATCAGAAGCTCTACATGTACAATGATGGTTACTATGTGAGCTACCATCTCTGGTTTAACCACACAGTTCAGGCCACAGTTCAACCACCAGTTTTACTGGTCACCTAGATAATTTTCTGTTATTGAAAGAGCTATTTGAGACAAATGATTAATGAGTTTCTTTTTCTTCCTTTCACTATCTCTTTTCCTGACCTTTAATAAATGATTTGAAGCATCCTAAAGGTGTTGTTGTCATGCTCACTGCTCATCATTTTCTGAAATCGGGAAATAAGACGGTTATATTAAAATCAAATCAGAAAATATGGAAAATAATTTTATACTAAGGTTTTATGCTCAAAAAAAATCTTTACAAAACAATGCTGGCTTTAGGTGTAAGAAACTACTTTAACAGTTATTCACTTAATGAAATAAAATAAAATGAAAAATTTTAAATAAAATAACTATATAAAAAGTATTTTTCATATTTGATCAAAATAAATAATTAGATAACAGTTAGTGACATAAAAATGATAAAGGGAAATAGATTGCAGCATAAGTCTTCTATGCCTCTTGCTTGGGCTGGAGCTTATGTCTGCAGTCTTTTGGTTAGAGGCGGGTTAGACCCTGCACAGGTCTTTGCAGGAATATACAGGACAAACAACCACACCCAAACACACTTATACCAAGGGGCAATTTAAAGACAAAAATATAAAAAGACAATCCAAACGCCAAGTACAAATACCCAGGCTAACACTTGAACCCAGGCCCTTCTTACGATGGTAAACACTTTTCTACAATGCAGCCCCTAGACCTGAAGAAAATGCAACTGTCTCGATTAAATTAAACAACAGAAAAAAAAAAGGATGCAATATTGATGCCGTCATGTAGTATCCTAATTATGGCAAATACCAAAAGCCAACATGAAAATTGCACATGAACACTCCTTTTGTAATTTCCACTGGAAATCTGGGAAAGTTCTATGATACTTGAGTTGTCAAGACGAGGTGAACTTTGACCTTTCAACATGGCACACAGCAGAGAAATGATTGTGTATGGTGAATAGTGCATCATGAAGTGTTCTTCTGCTATATATCTTTAGGATATATCACTATTTAAAATTGTGTCGTTTTTTAATGGACCATTATTCTTTGTTTTTATCAGATAGTCGCTACCAATCAGTTCATGCATTTACTTCTCCCTCTTCTTCATATAGCAGATGAATTAGGAAGTCTAACTGTCTTGCCCAAATAGCAGCTCGTGATAATATTTGCATCCAACATGTTTTTCTTTTCTACCACAACAAAAGCACTTGTGTGCTGGTTATTTCGACTTTAAGTGAAAAGGATCATTTTTACCAGACCACCCGAAGGCAGCATATGTCCAGGGGTTTTAATTTCTGGTCTAATCAGCTATTAGCATACCTTGCACACCTGAGTGTTGCTAGTAAATGCCGCTATGAAACTTCCAACTCTTATCTTATCAGATTCTGAAATTTTAGGGGGAAAAAAAGATTATCAAGTCAAATTTTCTCTTATTATTTTCTTCTTTATTGGAATTTTCCTAAGTCTCACAGATAAACAGTAGAGTGGCTCACCCTTTCAAAAGATTTATACTCTTTATTGTCTTCTGAAGTCAGGAAAAGTCCATAAACTGAAAAATGGTGGATGGGGAGGGGCTCACACAACCTTGATCCAAGTTTATGGGAAAATTAATTTTTAAGACTGTTGATCGTTATTGTGACTGGATGTGAAAATGGTGCTTGTAGTGCTTAAAGTTTCCATTTATCATACACTAGAAGAAAGTGAAATTAACCAAAAATATTTCCTGATAACAGACACATATAAAATCCAATTTCATAATGGCACAATTACTTATTAGGAAGACTCAAAAGAAACAAGCCAATAAGAAGCTTAATTTATAAGATTTGCATGAGAAATCCTGTGGGAAGTACAAACCTTAGACCAAAACTTTAGATTTATGATAATGACTGGGTTGTGTGGGCAGCAGTCTCAGCAGAGATTCCCAGACTTCCCTATCTTAAGAAACCTCCTCCAGCTCTTCTGCGGGAAGTCCGAGGCTCTCCCAGGCCAGCCTACTGATATAGTTCCTTCAGTGTGTCTTGGGGCTTTACCCTGGGCCTCCTCCCAGTGGGAGCTACCTAGAAAACATCCCTAGGGAGGCCCCTGGGGGCACCCAGCAATGCAGACAAAACTCTGGCTATGTTTGTACAGAGACTGGAGGAACCTCGACTCCATACGCCGAGTGCCACCCACAGGACACTATGAGGGACACAATTGAATACCACCAGGTCTACAAAACACATGTGGACCGGTTGAGCAAACCCCCTTGAGCCTCCTGCAGAGGGTATAAGGCTGGTCCAATGTTCCATGACCAGGATGAAAACCACAATACTCCTCCTGAAGCTGAGGTTTAGCAATCCCCTGGACTCTCCTCTCAGGCACCCTAGCATGGTTCGTCTTGGGGACCTCCAGTCCCTCTTTTTATGCAGGGGAACCACCATCCCAATCTGACAGTATAGGGGCAATGTCCCAGACCTCCACATGATGTTGAAGAGACATGTTAGCCATGATAATATCCAGAGATTTAAGGATCTCAGGATGGATCTCATCCACCCGTGAAGCCATGCAAACGTTTTTCTGAATACATAGTAAAAACTAGAAAAAGAAAATCATAGAGCACATACCTTCTCTAAGCAGCAAATATTGACCCACACCTTTAGCTAAAACTTGCATGTCTGGATCATGACTTTTGGAATCTAAATCTGAAGCTGTCATTAGTCACTGCTGCCACTCTCTGGTTAGGAGCGGGTGCTTGTTTCCTCTATAAATCCCACAATCTTAAACTATCATTTTTAAAAAATATGTATTTGTATGTGTGAATTGCATGGATTGTTACCGACATCTGGTGAAAATGTAATGTCAATAGTCCATCTAGAAATTTACTGAGATAAATGGTGGTGTGTTATATGGTTATTTTACTATTAATAAATAAAACAAGTAAATAAGCCAGACGAATCTCCTGAACTAAGATTTTGTTGAGCAACACTTTGAGGCAATCACTGAAATCAAGTTTATTCTTTAATGTTCAGGAAGTGTACAGTAAAACCTTTTCACCTGCTGACAGGTATGTTGATTCATGAAAATGTAATGTTGGTTTGTAGTTTGACCCATATGCAGAACCACACGGAGAACCACTGAGTTTTGATGTTTCATTTAAAAAAGCTACAGGAATCTGGGAGCAGAGAACTGCAGAACGTCAGTAGAACTTTCAGGCTGGTCTGAGGGGAGAAAGCAGCCAGATCAGAAAGGAGTTGGTTGATGACAACTGATGACTGATTTCCTTACCTGAGTGATGCAGGGGAGGCATGGATCTGAAGGGGTTTGATTCAACTTCAACCTTTATGTTTAATCCAGCCATGTTGAAAAAGTTAAGACTTTCTGGAGTGCTGCTCATTTCAAAAAGCGGGAAAAAAACAGTGCTGTTAGATTTCATGACAGATGGCCAATTTCTCATCCGCACCCAACGTTCGGATCGCACCTCATACTGGAAGTTCAACATGCACCTGAAGAAGCAAGCAATAATGACCCAGTCACAATCTAAATATCCTTATGCAGATAAAGTATCGCTTTGCCCCACCATTATACAAATATTAAGTTCACTAAAAGGACTATAAATAAGACTGTAAGATGTCACCACATGTGGTAATTTCACATCCCCACCCTTTGTTTAGATTACACTTTATGCTGTGGATACCCAGCCTTTGCAATTAAGCAGCTGTTTAAGCACCAGATCAGGTAGTAACCACGTGAAGAGAGAAGGTGTTTGGGAAAGATCTGATATGAGCGTCTATAAAAACTCCGGCACAGTCTGAAGAGACATTTGAGAGGTGCACTGAGACATGATGCTGCTGGTTCTGTTTCTGCTCCTCTGTGCCTTTAGTCCTGCTTCGGCTTGGATTGTAAGTAATCCTTATGTCTGTGATATGCTCAATACATATTTTGTATTTTTTTTTAATCAATTGTTATTTCTGTGTCACACTTTAGCCAGTGCAAGACTGGGAATCTGGAAACGTGACTACTTCAGTGGGTTCGTCTGGTCAGTGTGTCTGCCATGTTTTTCTCCCTGACACCACTTTCCCTGCTGATCGGGTTGAGCACATGCAGCAAGTCAGCAGTGATTTAATCCTGGAAGTGGAAATCCAAATTGATAAGGTTCTGTTAGGAATTACCTAATAAATAAAACTGCTATGTGATGAAATAAGTTAATAACTTCTCTTCTTTTTTAATTATTTCAGATGGTGAAGTACGAAGGGAAAATGTTGATCTATCTTGCTCAGCTGAAGGATCTGGAATCCAGAGTGAACATCTTAGGAAGTAGCCCTGATGATTACATCCTCCTGGACTTTGAGCTGCTTAGGGTTGAGCTCAGGGAATTTGAGGCTCTGGTTTCTCAGCTTAAGGACTCCTTCAACTCCTCTTCTCCTCTATTCGACAGTCTCTACACTGAGGTGAAATAATCACTAATTGAAAGCAATCTTCATGGAGTCTCATAATACATGTTGGAATTGTGTGATTCGATTTATTGCCTAAGAAAACCTGCAAAAAATCTTGAAACTGGATAAGAATCAGCTACCATTGTTTTGAAATATGTTGCTTTCAAGGCCTGACAACTTTAGATGAATTCCTTCCTGAAATACTATTAACATTTTCCCCTTATTTTTGCTTCTAGATCCACAACATGACGCTCATTGTGAACCAGCTGGAGACATATGACAAGAGCAACCTGGAGGTGATCAGGCATGAGTTTGCCAAGCTGCAGAAGAAGCTAGAGGAGTGCCAGAAGGACCAAGAGATCATCAATCCAGACATTGGTGAGAAATCTGCCTGACATGATTAATAATAGTTTGCACTCTAGCAGCTGAAGGTGAAATGATCTTTCCTAAATAACAATCTTATTAGATTAAATTATCATAAAAAGTTATTTTATTTCAGAAATCTAAGTCAGAAATTTGTACTTATACTTATTACTTGTATTCATTACACACAGACTGATAAATTGTGGTTTCATTTTTGCCTCCAGCTGACACAGAAAAAAAAAAACAATTTCAGTTTATCAAAAAAATTGAAAATAATTCAATATAGATTAAGTTAAAAATGATCTGTTAATGCAGAATAGAGTGTTGTCATCAAAGTATGGCCAACACAATCATAGGAAAGACTGTATACAGCTGTCCAGCAGACCCCCTACCAAGGAGAGTAAGCAAAAAAGAATTACAAACAAGAAGATAATAACTTTACATATATATATATATATATATATATATATATATATATATATATATATATATATA